CTTAATTGTCTTGTGGTTCTTTCTTTTACGAACGAAGGTTCGTGGTGAAACTTATTCCATTCCCCTCATTGATGTCTTTATTGATCCTCGTTTGCTGCCAGGGAATTTCCGAAGCAGCTTCATCAGTTCGTCGTTCTTATCGATTCCTTAGACTAGATCTCGTAAGATCATTGTGTAGGGTCAGTATGTGGGGATCGACGGGATGGGATAGATTGTTTTAGAAAATATGATATATATGTGTTAATTAATAATAGTGGTCTTGCTAGATTTAGATATACATTATTATCACATTGTTTTTGCACTAGGTGTTCATTAAGCATTTTGAACTAAGTGTTCACTAGCTGTTTTTGAACTAGGTGTTCATTAAGTATTTTGAACTAAGTGTTCACCAGATGTTTTGAACTTATGTGTTCATCAGGTATTTTCGAACTGAGTGTTTAATGGATGTTTTGAACCATGTGTTTATCAGGTGTTTTTGAACTATGTGTTCATTAGAGGATTGTGTTCGTTAAGTATTTTTGAACTAGATGTGTTCACCAGATGTTTTGAATTAAGTGTTCACTAGGAGTGTTAGAACTAGGTATTCACTAAGTAGGTTGAACTAAGTGTTTACCGGTTGTAATTTGAGGACCTGGGCAGTGGTGGACTTTGTGTCAATTCCTTAGGTCAATCCTTAGGAATAAATGAAAAAATGATAGTTGATTTTTAGGGTAAATCCTTAAGAAATAAAAGAGATAATGGGGATGAGTGTTTTGGATTGATTAATGATTGAATATAATAAATATATTATTGTGGGTCGAAAACCCTATATGCTCACCAGGCTCCCAAGCCTGACCCACTCAGTTTTCTTTGCATTACAGGTAAAGGCACAAGAGTATAAGTTGGTTGACTTGACGAGAGATTCTGGATTATAGACCAGTAGTTGTAAATAACTACTGTAATGTTAAATTATACTGTTTATGCTTTTTGGTCTGTATCGGAACATGACATCCCGAGGTTTTATTATTTAATGAAAAGTACATTCTCTTTGAGAAATGTTTTGATAAAGTTTTATCATATTTTGTTTGGGAACAAATTCCGCAACTGTTTTCTTTAAAAGATTACTCTGATTTTAAAACAAAGCATAAACAAATCGGTCTTTTCTGGCCGTGAAATTGGGGATGTCACATAACGGATTAAGTTGAAAAAGATTAACTTTTGGGTCCCTTTGAGACTTAAAGACTTGATCTTGTTTGTTGGGACCATTCTAATGGATAAAGTTGGAAACTTTATCCATTATAAAGCTATTATAAACTATAAAAATGTGATCTTGGCCCTTCTATCCCTTCCATGCAAGAGTTGTGATGTCTTATCGGGTTAAGAAGTTAGGGTTTTGGACATTAAGCACTTTATAGCCATGCAAAGTCATAAAGTTGGAAACTTTATGACTTAGGACATCATTTTGGGCTTGGATCTGAGTTTTGGATGTAAGAACTTAATGAAATAAGCTCTTAATGGAGTTTTGGGACTGAGCTGAGTACGCTTGGCGTACCTGGTGGTACGTTGTGCGTACGCGGCCAGCACCCTGCTTTTGGTCAACATCGGAGTACGATGGGCATACTCTCTTGGTACGCAGGGCGTACTCCGCTGGGAAGAAATATTGATTTTTGGACCTTGACCGTTGACTTTGACTTTGACCAGGGTTGACCAAGTTTGACTTAAGGTTATTTTGGGTTATCGGGTTAATTAATGATTAAGATTGTATTTATTGTTAGTTGGCGTGAGGTTATGCGGCTCGGCGGTCCGAGTAGTTATTTGATTATCAGTGGATTGAGGTAAGTTTCCTCACTGGGTTTAGCGGGTCTAAGACACCAATTTCGGCCCTTTATTGTTTATGTTAGGATGCTAGGAGTCTGCATGACCCTTGCATGTGTTATGTGCTGCTATGTATACCAGGCGGGGCTCGATGTCGGGCGAGGCCCGATGACTGAATCATATGATATTATTTTATGATCATTGTATGTGTTAGCATGATTATGTGATATATGTTTATGTGTATAGTGGGCGGGGCCCGATGTCAGGCGGGGCCTATGAATAACAGATCTGTATATCGAGCGGGGCTCGATGCCAGGCGGGGCCCGAAGCCGAGTGAGACTCGATACCGGGCGGGGCCCGATGGAGGGTGGGAGGGCCAGTATATGATTTATTATGTATGTTATGGGGTAGTTTGGGGAACTCACTAAGCTTTGTGCTTATAGTTTTCAGTTTATGTTTCAGGCACTTCTGGTTTCAAAAGAGCCCCGGATAATTGAAGAGCACACACCATTCGTTTCAGCATTTTGTGATTTACTCTGATGATGATGATATATTGATAAAATTCGATTACCTTGGTTTTATGACAATGATATGGTTTACTGTTTTATTACTTTAAAAAATGAAAATTTTCGGGTCTTATTTTTGGGACATTTCAACCCAGTTGAATATAAATGTTTTTCAGATACTCCATCAGAGAATAAGAAGGACGAAGCTCGAGTGTACACACGCATTGGCAACCTGTTTCTGCATATACTCTGAAATCAGATAAATGACTTTTGAATGTAAAACATTGGTATTTGTCATGAATAAATGAAATGTTGTTTTATAAAAATGAAAAATTTTGTTATGAAAATCGGGACGTTACATAAATCGACCCAAGAACCCGCGAATCCATATACTTAAATGGATTATGTGGGTGAGGTTGGATTGATGTTTCCAACCCATGACTTGCCAACCCATATATTATATAGGTTGGGTTGGTCAATGTATTCTAACACGCCAACCTGTGACCCGCCAACCGAATCCAACCCAATTACCAGGCCTAATCATGGTGACCTATTAGAGGTTGCGGTGGAAAGTGAATTGGTTGGTCTACTTTGATGAAATTGGTATTGCGATTTATAGGAATATCTTTATTCAAGTGTCGATTAAAGTTTTTGAATATCTTAGAATCTTTGAGATCTAATTTTTTTTTGGTTTCTAATGATCAATGACAAGAACATTTACGACTTCTAAGAAAAAAAAGACGTTGGCATTGGTAGTCTTGCGACTTTCAATGGGGCTCTATTACAAACTTCGAGATGGAGGTCCATTCAAAATCCACAACATTTGTTGGTAAACGTCATAAAAACGATTCATCAAAGTTCTCGAGGCATGGGATCGATGTGGGATAGGATCAAAATTATTGGAGTGTCGGCGAAAATTTTAGGATCTATAAACCAATTACATGAGAAATAAATTATCCTGCATTCAACTTTGAAGAAACAAGTGGGGGATAGATTAACAACGTAATTTTGGAGGAGGTTGGGACCGGGGGATAAACCATTAATAATTTCATTTCCTAGAATATTTCAACTTGAACGACATAAAGACTATTTGGTTTTCGACATGCGAGACAATGAAAAGTGGGTTTAGAACTAGTGTCCAGATCTAATGGATAGGGCCGAGATGGATCAATTATCGACTCTTTGACTGTGTTGGAGTCGGGGCTTGCTTCCCTCGATAGCATATGTGGTTGTGGATATTGATAACTCTGACGGTTAGTGCTATGAGGTTTTATAGATAACATTGCTCTACCTAATGGCTATTTCATGACAATATGGAACAAGTTTGTGTCGAAGAAAGTAAATATTCTCAAATGGGGATATTATTGGATCGAATTCCATCTAGACAAAATTTGGTGATTAAAGGTAGGTGTTGAACTGTTGATCTCTCGTTTACTATATGGTCGATATGTAACAATCACTTGTAGGAAGTTGATCACATCTTGTGTTGATCTCTCGTTTACTCTATGATCAATATGTAACAATCGTTGGGATGAAGTTGATCGCATTTTCTTGGAATGTGAAGTGGTGACTCAATTATTGGAGAAAATTGTTCGTTGGTGTGACTTGAGTTTTTCTTGCTTTTGATCGGATAAGTGATTTTGTTGTTTGGCTAAAAATGTTACTCTTTCTTCTAATAAACATGTGGTGTTGGATGCCATTCTTAAAACATGGTGGAGTATTTGGAAATTCAGGAACTTGTTCGGGTGACCTATTATAGGGGTGAGCAAAAACCGAACCGCAAACCGAGAAAACCGAAAAAACCGCATAAACCGAAACCGAAAAACCGAAACCGAAATGAAAACCGACGGTGCGGTTTTTAGTTTTGCAAAAACCGAAAATGTTCGGTGCGGTGCGGTTTCTAGTCTTGCAAAAACCGCAAACAACCGAACCGCACCGTATATATATATATATATATATATATATATATATATATATATATATATATATATATATATATATATATATATATATATATTAAGTGTTGATATTTATAAGAACGAAGAACCATGACAATTAAATTTTTTATAAATATATAAACCTATCTCATCTCTACATAAAGTTTCTCAAAAAATGATTAACACTTCTCATTCGAATCAAAGTAACTCGTTGAGTTACCTGAGTTTTAGTAAAAAGGCAAAACAAAAACCAAATAAAAAAATTGACAAAAAACCGCAAACAAAAAACCAAACCGCAAAAAACCGAAAAAAAACCGCAAAAACCGAACCGCATAAAAACCGAACAGTGCGGTTTCTAAATTTAAAAAAACCGAAGTTGCGGTTTTCGGTTCAGTTTTGGCCAAAAACCGCATCATGCTCACCCCTGCCTATTAGAGGCCAGAGACTAAAAGTAGGTTGGGTTCTATAGATTCAAAATCCGACCCTAACTATCCTTTTGTAATCGTTATTTTTTCCTAATATCTTTATTATCTTGCTAGCTATAAAATACAATCGTATATACAGGTTATTTGCATAAAAACACAAACTGCAAGGGGTAAGTTGGTATAACCTTAGTTTTTGGGGTTTAAACACAGTTTTCTTCGTCGGCGACATTGAAGCCGCCGCAGCAGAAGAACACCAGATGCTTAACAGTTACCACCCTTCACAAAATCTCCCTTCGCCCTCTCTTTGCACATGAGAAGAAAGCTTCCGGCGTCACGTCATGAAACCCTGCAAGTCTTTTGATCTCATAGTATTAAAACACCTCAATTCGACCACCATTTTCGGCACTACTCAAGGTCAGTACGCCTTCCCCTTCTCTTCACTTTCTATCTGTCAAACCAAATCTCCGATCACTAAAACAACACACATCCCACCTGTAACCCCGCAGTCTCTTCAGAAATCTATCTCTTCTTCTCAGTGGCATTTCATCGAACAGATATCAGACACCCTTACACCCACCACAATCTCCACCGCCCTCTACAACCTCCGCACATCTCCCACCCTCGTCCTTCAATTCACCGAGTATCTTAACCCAAATAATACAGATATCGAATGCTATTGTCTATCTATCGCCATTATCTGTCAGCTCCCCTCACCTAAATCATCTTTACAATTTATCAAAACTCTAATCAGTTCTCGTAGGTTTAGCTATAACGATGTCTTTAACGGGTTAGTTGCCGCCCGTGAAAGGCTAGGTATATCGAGTACGATAGTCTTTGATTTGTGGATCAAGGGTTTTTGTGAATTGAAGAGAGCTGATGAGGCGTTCAAGTGCTTTTACTTGATGAAACGTAAAGGGGTATTACCAAAGATTGAAACTTGTAACAACATGCTAAGCTTGTTTATTAGATCAAACCATACACATTCTACATGGGTTTTGTTTGCTGAGATGTTCAGATTGAAGATTAATCCGACTGTGTACACTTATAACATAATGGTTAACTTGTTGTGTAAAGAAGGGAAGATAAAGAAGGCAAAGGAGTTCATTGCAAACATGGAAACCTTAGGGTTGAAACCAAATGTGGTTACCTATAACACAATAATCAATGGGTATTGTGCAAAAAAGGATCTTGATGGTGCTAAGAGGGTATTCAACAGGATGAAAGCTAAAGGCATTCAGCCAGACACATATAGTTATGGAGCACTTATAAGCTGTATGTGTAAAGAAGAAAGATTCAATGATGCATCTGAACTTATGAGTAAAATGGAGGAAATCGGTTTAGTGCCAACTGCAATAACTTACAACACATTGATAGATGGGTATTGCAATAAAGAGAATCTTGAAATGGCATTTCATTATAAAGATGAAATGGTGAAAAAGGGAATACAACCATCTGTATCTACATACAATTCATTGATTCATGCATTGCTGTTTGAAGGTAAAGAGTCAGAAGCTGAAGATATGATGGAAGAAATGAGAATTGAAAAATTAATCCCAGATGCGATTACTTACAACATATTGATCAATGGATATAGTAGATCTGGGAATGCACAAAAGGCTTTTGCTCTCCATGATGAGATGATAACTAAAGGTATAAACCCCACACATGTGACCTACACTTCTCTTATAAAAGTATTAAACAAACGAAACAGAATGACAGAAGCTGATAATTTATTTTCCAAGATTATCGAGAGAGGTGTTTTACCAGATGTTATGATGTTTAATTCATTGATTGATGGACACTGTGCTAATAAAAACATGGAAAGGGCTGTTTTTTATTTAAAGGAAATGGATAGGGTGAAAGTTTGTCCTGATGAAGTGACCTACAATACTTTAATGCAGGGGCATTGTAGGGAGGGAAGAGTTGAAGAAGCTATTACGGTTTTTGAGGAAATGAAGAGAAGAGGGATTGAGGGAGATTATATTAGTTTTAATACTCTGATTAGTGGGTATAGTAGGAGAGGTGATATGAAGGAGGCTTTAAAGATTAGGGATGATATGGTAAGTAAAGGTTTTAATCCCACATTCCTAACCTACACTGCTCTTATTCAAGGATTATGTAAAAAAAATGAGGGACATCATGCAGAAAAGCTTTATAAAGAAATGGTTAGTAAAGGTATTACCCCTGATGATAGTACCATTATTTCTTTGATTGAAGGGATGGAAAGTGTTGATAAGTTTCTTGAAAATGATCTTTGATTGTATTTGACATGTAGTCTCTATTATCTTGTTTAATAAATTTTCTCATTGTGCTTTTTACTTAAAATGACTGGTGGTTACTTTTTTTAAGGTATCCTTGTTTAAGAAGTGTCACAATCACTTTTAAGAAGATTTTATTTGATGAAACTCTTTAGTCATTCAAGAAGAGAAGGATCACATGCTATTTTGCTACAAGACATACACATGAATTGATGGATCATGGGTTTGCGAATATTTCATTCTACATTTCCATATGATGAGATCAACCTTTTGCATCCTCAACATATTCATCATTTGCTTCTGACTGGTTATTGTCACCTTCCTTATTTGGCCTAACATGCATGTCAACATAATAGTATATTAAATTAGTGTATGTGATACACTGATACCTACCTTCTTCCCATCCTCAACCTTATCGACCTCTTCGTCTTCAACCTTATCAACATTTCCTTGTGACTTCCTTATTTGACCCAACTTGCATGCCAACCTACTAATGCATTAAACGGTATAATAATTTTTTGGGAAAATGACTTAAAAATATAAAGAAGTTTCCAAAATGTATAAAAAAAGATCATTGTTTTTTTTTTAATACACAATGGTATTCTATGTACAAATGGTATACTTCAATGACATTTTTTGTATTAAAAAAAACAATTATATTTTTTGAATATTTTGGAAACTTTATTACACTTTTTGGTTATTTTTCCGTTTACCTAAGGTAACCGTTACCAAAAGATTTTAGTTGAACACATATGTACTTTATATGATATTTTTTGTATTAAAAAAAACAACAATTATATTTTTTGAACATTTTAAAAACTTCGTTACCTTTTTAAGTCATTTTCCCTAAAAATTTTAATGTGCTACCAACATCTTCATCCTTAACCTTATCAACATTCTCATCTTCAACCCTATGATCAACATTCTCATTTTCTTTTGATTTTTTTCTTGTCAGAATCCAGATTCATCTCAACCTGCATTAAAGTATTAAAACACCTTTATTGCAAATATAACATACACTTATTCACTAAACATATCATCGAGGAAGACTTTTGCTTCCATGCATGCACTTATCCCAACTTATTTACTATCATCCATGCAAAGAGTATTAAAAAATGTATCATCATAAAAAAATTAGCTGACATAAAAACCCTTAAGTTTGCAAGTTTTTATCGGTCTACCCTTTTGTGAATTTTAGGTCCATTAAAACTAGATATTTGCAACTTTTTTTTTTCAATTTTACCCTTTGATTTATTAAAGCTCTTATGTTTGATAGAAATATTTGGTTTTACCTTTTTTTCTGGGGGTTATTTTCATAAAAGACCCTATATTTTGACTTTTTTTTCTTTTTAGACCTAAAACTTTTTTCTTTTCCGAAAAAGACCCAACTTTTACATGTTACTTGTTATTTTAGACCCTAATAGGTCACCAAAAGGGAAATTAAGTATTTTTATTTCACAAAAAGACCCTATATTTTGTATTTTTTTCCAGTTTAGACCTAAAATGTTTTTTATTTCAAGACTAGTTGTATAAAAACATGATTATATCCTTTTAATTTAAACATAGACATCGATTTAAACAATGTAATTATTATGCATACATTTATTTATGATTGGACAATTCTTTGTCCACGTATATTTTAAAAAAAAGTAGTTGTAAAAGCTATTTCTTCATTACACCAAGTTCATGTAGCTTAATTTCGTCAGAGCATAAAAAACATAATTATATTCTTTTAGTTTAAATAATAGACAACGATTTAACTTTTGCATCTTTTGGCATCGTATTTATTTACGCATGAAACATTTTTTTTTAAACTATTACACATACAACGATTTTTAACTTTTGCATCAATTTATGCTCAAATGGTTTCAATCCCATAATATAGTTTTATGTATTTATATGTGATGTTAACATTTTTTAAGAATGTCTTAAACTTGAATATGATATATCTAAACAAAACTATTACGAATGTTTAGGATTAATATTTTTATGTATGTATTTGATATAATTATAAAATATTATTCAATAATGGCAGGGCCGGTCCTGGAGATGTATATATCCTCAAATGCCCAGGACGAGTCAAGGAAAAATGGCTCCTATCGTTATTATAAGTTTTTTATTTTTAAATAAATGTATATATATAATATATATAATAATAAAAAATTGGGTCATGTGCAGCTGCCCACTTTGCCCCCCTCAACGCCCCCCCCCCCCCCCTCTGAATAATGGGCTAATGCTACAAAATATTAAATGACTTTGCTTTAGGAGTATGATAGTGAGTGCATTTGTTAACTGTTTTTTAAAAAAATGATTAAGAAATTCGACTAAAAAAATAATATAGAAATGGGAGAGAGGGAAATATGTCTAAACTCACCAAATAAGTATAATAGACAAACTAAAAAAATTTATTTTGTATACAGTTTGTTAAATTACGTGGTATGCATTTTTTTCTACAAATAAAAAAAGTTGTTATTATGCTAAAAGAATCTTCCTAGCCATGTATTATCCATGTTACCAAAAAATATCAAATTAACATCAAACTTTTTATTAGCGGTAATAATAACATTTTTTATAAACAATATATCAGGTTTAATGATATAATATATATCCAAGATAAAGTTTAATTATATCTTTTACACAAAAATAAAATTTTGCAATTCTTCTAGGTTATATTCGCTCAAAATATAATAGATTAGATAACATTTTTTAGTTTATACATATATACTTTCTTTTTTCGGTGTAGTCAACAAGTACCTTATATATTTGGTCTTGAAGATTATAACCAATTTTAAAGTTGAGTTTATTTAAAAAAAACATTTTAGGTCTAAAATGGAAAAAACTATAAAATATAGGGTCTTTTATGAAAAAAAAAATACCTAATTTACCTGTTGGTGACCTGCTAGGGTCTAAAACAACAAGTAATAGGTAAAAATTGGGTCTTTTTCGGAAAATAAAAAAGTTCTAGGTCTAAAAAGAAAAAAAGTCAAAATATAAGGTCTTTTATGAAAATAACCATTTTTCTGGTTCATAAAAGCTCGTAAGTTTGGTTTTCCGGTTCATTAAAGCCCTTAAGTTTGACATAAATTTTTAGTTTCATTGAATAAATTTGCAAAAATGGCAAAATTGATATATATATATATATATATATATATATATATATATATATATATATATATATTAATTTGGCCATTTTTGCAAATTTATTCGATAAAACTAAAAATTTCTGCCAAACTTTTCTATATATATATATATATATATATATATATATATATATATATATATATATATATATATATATATTATATATATATATATATGGAAAAGTGAATATACATTACAGTCTCACCTAAGTATAGGTACTAAACCTCAAACTACGTCGTTTAATTAGCTAAGGATTTTCCTAGAGAAAAAAAATATTATGTGATTTCCTAACAAATCGTATCCTTTCTAAAACACTTCGTGATTTCTTGGAAACAATTTTTTTTCCCAAAAGATTTTCTTCTCCTTATTCATTGTTGGTACAAAATGAAAAAATAAACGATAATGGAGAAAAAAAAACAGAGATGGTTAAATGATAATGGAAGAAAGAAATGTTACCGGTGATGATATATTTACCAAGTGAAAACCGAACCGGGTATATTTACTAATTTAAAACGCCATAATTTAGAGGTTTAGTTTCTAAGCTTAGATGTGACTGTAATGTGTGTGTGTGTGTGTATATATATATATATATATATATATATATATATATATATATCTATATATATATATATATATATATATATATATATATATATATAAGAACCCTTACCTTTGCAAGTTTTTTTCGGTTTACCCAAAGTTGTATTTTAGGTCCATTAATGTCTCAATTTGCAACATATATATATATATATATATATATATATATATATATATATATATATATATATATATATATATATATTGAGACATTAATGGACCTAAAATACAACTTTAAGTAAAACCGAAAAAAACTTGCAAAGGTAAGGGTTCTTATGACATTCGCCCTAAAAAAATATGGTAAAAAATATCCACCCCATGACACATTAGCATTCATCACCCATGTACCATTACCAAACTTTAAACCGGAGATAAGGCAAAACTTTGCATGTCCAATGTAGCTCACATCTTCCACCTTGAAACCAAAACACACCATCATTATGTTCACGATGGATCACTTCAGTTAACATTACTTCAATTTTAGTTGATGCTTCTTCAATTTCAGCCAATGAAATGGTATTCTAGGCTTATCTAACCACAATAACAAAACAAAATAACCTAAAAGGCTAAAACCTACTCCTCATAATTTTTAGTAACATTTACAATGGTTAAATGTTCTAAAAAACAAAGGTTTATTGATTACTTACTTGCAATACATTCATGTTTCTCAAATGATGATCCACGAGCGCAAATAAATATGACCATATGTTCTGCGAATAGTTGCTTGCGAACTGGCAAGGATCCTAAAATGACATAAAGCAAATCGATAATCTTTAGCAATATCATATAAATCTTCGTGTATACAATTTAAGATAGTTGACATAAAGCAAATCGATAATCTTTAGCAATATTATGTAAATCTCCATGTATACAAATTAAAATAGTTTCTCCGGTCCTTAACTAATAGGTCTTGACAACCATTTGTGATATACTTTTGCTTTGAAAATCTTAATAATATGCTTGTTCCTAACATACTGTTCAACCATGCATACATGCAATCATAAATATATATCGCTAAAGACTTGTGAGGATCCTGTTTAATTTGATATGAGGGCATGTATCTTTAATCCTATCCATCTACATGTACATCCTAATATAATGTTTATAATGTGATTCTTAGCTGACGTAGAAGAAGGCAAACATGAAACCTAGCCTTTATTTGATATCCAATTTTATAGAGAATAAAACATCACTAAGGTTGTAGAGTTATTTGTGTCCGTTTTGATATAATAATATTTAGCAAATAAAGAGATGCTTGCGAG